AAATTAATGATAATAAAAGAAAAAAATATGACTGCGCGAATAAATACTGTATTTATATAGTCATGTGCATAAATCCTAACATAATATAAATTATCCAACCTAAATAGCAAACTGACTTTTGACGCAATCGAATAGACGTTTATTTGACGTTTATTTCATATGAATTATCCAAATAGTAACGTTATTACAAGTATTAAATCATTTGACGTCGATTTGATACCAACTTGATTGCGACAAAAATCTGCCTGCACGCTTAGACGCTTATAGAATCATTTAGATGAAATTTGTTTCACAAAACAAGCAACTTCAATCGGTTCCCGCGCCTCATATGTTTTGATTGACGACATACGCGAAATTTCGCGCGGTTCTGTGCGCACATCAACAAACACGGCGACAATGGACGCTTCTGCGAAGCGTGTGACGCGCAACATTCAAACACATTCAAATGTGGAACAATGCGAGCTTGTATAACAAGAGTTAACAATTCGGCTGCGTTTCGATCCAAACAATGTGATAGCACGCATATTATACGCAAGCAACGGAGCTTTATACAACTTGTTGGTTATATTATGTTTTATCGTACAATAGTGGTAACAGCCTTTGTATACGCTGGAAAACATAGGTTCCTGTACATTACTTGTGTCAATAGTTTTAAACAGGGAAATGATCTTAATTTATTTTATTCCATATTTTGTATTTTTTTATATATTTTCACAAGCTCTGTAATCACTTTAAAATCTCTTTTTCGTAATGCATACAGTTCACTCCCATCTTTGTCTTGTGCTAATTTTCATTAATTAAAGATTTTTTTTTTTTGTAGAACAAACCTTAAGTTAAATAAACAAATTATCTGTACTTATGACCAGCATCTTTCATAAACCACTCAATAAACGGAGAATACTCAAGTAAATTAAAATTAGTCTATGGTCTCTTCAATTTATGCGGGTGTCCACTTTCCTATTAGGAGGGTCGAAGTTGAGCTAGAGCCGACCTCGGTTAATCCCGCAATATAATTGACACCCAACGCTTTATATTTGCCGAAGAGATTCAGCCTCAGGCCTTAATTACTGTCGTGAGACTTTAATTGGTTGTCTCGTCGACATCACACTCATAGGTACTTCTGCTTTTTAGCACAGATATAGAATTGTCAGAATCAAACTCTACAATCTGTTAAAAATCTATGACTACTGGATTTTTTTTTATTTTGTAAAATTTTATAGTAATTAAAATGTAGACCACAAACACCAGTTTTCATAAATTAAAAATATGTATCATTTAGGTCTATATATTATTTATTGATTTTATTCCTGTTATACACACAGTTTAAAAAAATTAATGGTTATTGATGGCCGTTTTGTTAAATTTCATAATTATCGTAAAAAAATTCACACGAATACAGTCAAATCCTTTCCTAAAATACCTACAGGATACAGGAGACAGTCACGTAATGAACAATTTTTGTATAATATTTGATCACTCATAAATTCAATGATTTGGACTATGAGTTGAAACACCAAATAGTAATTTGTTTCTTTAATACATATTTGTTCACAATTTTACTTATAGTTGTATAAATATTAGCTGCAATAAATGGAATAGTTTGTAAAGACGTTTGGGCATTTGTAACTCAGTCAATAAGAATTGAATGGCTGAACAGATTTCAATGAAATTCAATACAGCCCGATGAGCCATGTCCTAGATTATATCATAGGATATTTTTTATCTTAATTCACGTAAGTGAAACTATAGGATACAACAGCTAGCTTCAAATAAATCATATTAAATCAAAGAACAAATAGTGACAACTACAAAGAGATCGATGTCAGTGTGGGGTAACAAATTGGGCGCGACAATCGAGTTAGTTGACCCGAGACCCGGACAATCTCGGCTACATGTTATACGATTAACCGCCCTGTGCCACAGATATAATAGATAGATCATGAATGAAGAAAAAAAATAAAATTTTATTCTCATTCTATACATATATATAAACATATCTCGTTTAATATATTATTTACTAATTGTCTATTTCTGCAATATATAAACGAATGGGAGTTAGAAAATACGCAAAAAAGAGCAGCATTTTTTTTTATTTTAATTTAGAATTGCAAATAAAGGCTAACATAACACAGTACATTTAACACATACTAACTAGAGCGTCATATGTAGAATCCTAATAATTTATGTCTGAAATATACTGACAATCATTATCGTTTAGCAGTATATTACACTGTGTGCTTGTTTTTGAAAGAAACAATCACATAACGTTAACGTAAGAACCTTTTACAGTATAAATTTTTCACCATTTTTGGCATCTCAGTATTGTCCACAATAAAGATGACTATTGTCTATTATATCCCACAATAATCATACAAAAAGGTCACAAGATGACAACACGAGTTATTTGAGTGACCTTTGCTAAACGTACATAAATTTCGCATCACTTTACTCAACCAGGTCGCGACAGCGTAATACTATTATCCTCCTATATTGGACAAATCCACTGGACTGAATTATGCTACCTGACATACGAGTACAATAGCGTGGATAAAGTTTCTCTATCTTTTATTTATTTATTTATTTTATTTATTTAACACTTTATTGCACCAACATAACATGATTTGTTAAAACAATTTTCTATACGTTTTTACTTTTATTATCCAAAACAGTTACATATAAAAAAGCATCCCATCCTTACTCCATAATAATGAAAGACAATTATTTAAAATCGATTTTGAATAGTTAATTTTAAATTAGTTACGAGTGTATGAAAACGTTCAAAATAATGATAATCGGCAAACAGCTCTAACTATAATAATCAGGGATATAATTATGAAAATATTTGTTTATTTTTATTTAAAAAAGTGTTATTTGTCTCACCAATACAATATTTTAATTGCATTTGTCATACTTATTTATTTGCCAATCCATACTAATAGTTAATATAATACTAATTATTAATAAAAACAGATACTTTAAGCAAATATTTTAAACAGCTATCTCAAAACATTTCTTTTTCTTTATTCTTAGTTTATAATCTAAGTATATTATAATCTTATTAATTAGAGAGAGTGTTTATTACGTCTCTCTCGATTTTTTAATAACTTAACCAAATTCAAGCCGTTAAAAAGTCAAAATACACATGATTTAATATGAAATAAGTATAACATTTAGATTACACGTTTTGTTGTGCAGATCTACTTTTTATGCCAGTCAATCAATAAAGACATATTGAGTGACTCGGTCAGACAGACAAAGTCATTAAACTCAACTATTTTTGAATATTGTACATATATTTTCTGGTTGTTTCTGATTATTCTCTTGTCCATCATTGTGACTGATATCGCCTCGGCATCCAAATGTGATTTTTATTAGGGACAATTTGTCGCCCCCATCATATTAAATAAATTACATCGACCATACATATCAACAAGCCACAAACGAACGTTAGAAAATAGTAATAGAAAATAGAATCCTATAAGTATTCCCGTATTTTTCAAAATAGATATCACAATCTTTACAAAAGTGATGATTATTATCTAATCCTCATTTACATTATCAGGTAAATAATAGATTAACATGTAGATAAATTTAAAAGTTCCCAAGAACCATTTAAATTTTCGTGTGAACCCGATAAGAAATTACACAGAAATTAATTATTATGCGTTTTAACAATAAGCAACCGATTAAATGTAATTCCGATAGCTTTCTTGCCCCTAACCAATTTGAACCCCTCGTGTATTAAAATTAAATAAAGATGTTTACTCGCATTTAACCCTTGAACTTTCAATATGATCTAGAGTACCAATTTTATCAATTTATTATGCTTCATTATTGAAATGTTTTATTCATCACTTTCTAAGGGTAAACACATGTAATGTATGACGATAAACGTTGTTATTAGCTGAGATAATAACGCGTAAGTGATGTGGGTGAAATGTCAATTAAAAAATTATATTCAAACAAGGTTCTAACTGAATTCTTTTGAGTTTTAGTATACGTCTTATCGATATATTGTCAGTAAATCTACAAACGAAATTAAATTGTAATTTCATTAAAACCTAAAAATACCTTTATTGCTTCATCATATCAACCGTTAACAGTCGATTGCTGAAAATAGGTCCCCACCATAAAGGGGGTTTTGCCAGTAGTTGCCACGCTTGGCAAGCGGGTTAGCAACCGCAGTTAGATTTTAGTGATGTTTTAAGAGAAACGCTGCTGCACATCCCTCGACCATTGAGTTCCGTTAGTCGCTTCTTACGACACCCACGTGAAATAAAAGGGTGGCCTATACCGGGACCACACGGCAACAGTTTTACTGCTTACATACCTACTAAATATTATCCCACTTACAATCATTCTAAAAATCTTATTAAGTACCTATTAATATATTAAAGAGTGGATTATCAAAAATTCTAACGTATCGATATATGTATTCAGCTATTTATGTAATATGTATTATGTAAAAATTATAAAAGTCATAGAAAAATTATAATGGTAACGACAAACAAACAACAAATGCACTTTGACACTAACCGTAAAAGTTAGCGAAATTGCTCGTCATGGTCTACCGGACCGTGTGAGAATATACAGGGCTCGCACACTGCGGGGGGTTAAACTGAGGGGTGAGAACAGGCGGTAGGGGTTCGGGGCGCGGGTGGTGCGGGTGGCGGGAAACGTCGGGGTAAGTGGGGTACCAGGCCGGAAACGCCTGTGTCGGATCCATCCACGCACCTGTGGGAATGTGCGGTGCAATTTGAATATTGCCCGTTTGACTTCACTGCGTCGCTGATAGGCTGATAGAAAGCATTACCTTGTTATTTTTTTTTTGTTGTGTTTGTTGCATTACGTCCATAAAAACTCAGTAATTACCTATAAGATATGTATATGTGTCTGCCAGTACAAGTCCTTTGTTTCAAATGTTCAAGTGTTAATTTCGTGAAGATAGAACGATGAGTAGGGAGTCAAGTGCGATCGTCATAACTAATTTCTCCAAGCAGGTGCTGATACAAACAATTTAACAAACCATGAACAGTGATACAAAAAGAATGATCTTTTCGACCGTGACGTAACAAAAAACGCCGGCAAAATGAAAAACAGCGAGGAGTGTTTAGACTGACGGGACAAGTGATTTTGATAAATAAAAACAGTGTGATATTTATTGATCTTATTTAAATATTAAGTTATTAATATAAAAGACATTGTGTTAATACAAAGTAATTGTAAATATTGACAAATAGTGATAAAAAAAGGAACTATTCATAAGGAGAAAAAGAAACAAGCCTGCTGGCGGGCGTTTATTGGGACTTGTCAACCGTGCAGCAGACTCAGAGTGACGCGTCGGCGGCCATCGCAGGCATGGGAATCAAAGTCATGATGAAAGCTTTCAATAAGCCAAAAGGTAAGCCGATTACAGACGTTACAGGCACGTGAACAATTAATTTATATTTAATTATTCATACATATTGCGTTACTGTGTTTCTCATAATCATTCAGAACAGACGTATTTTAAGGAATCTGTCAAAGATTACACACAAATGTAAACAGATATTAGATATTTACAAACTAAAGAATATCTACGTGGTAACTCAATATGGAACCTCAAGCCATATGGATCATACCATGTTACGAGTACATTATAAAAAAATTAAGATTGTGTTGCACAAAAAAAAACCGACTTCAATTGTGTCATAACCAGTTATTTTGATTTAAAAACTAAATTAAACTAAACTACTGAACCGATGTTGATAAAGTTTCTATGGGACCAATCTATAAGTATATCCTTTCAGATAAAAAAAAATATTTTTCAAATCAGTTTACAACTGATGAGGTTATATTAACAAACATAAAAGAAATACAAACAAATTGAGCCTTCTTCTTTTTGAAGTCGGTATGAAAGTATCTGGGGTCATAACCTAAAACATGTATTCCTTCATAGTCAAATATAGCAAATTCAAAATTATATTTCCACTATGAATCTAAACATAGCTCAACTTCAATTTCAAGCCTTATTTATGGAAGCAACATTATTTATGAGGTCGTCATATATTCAATGACATCAACGATTATATTGTTTGGTTTCCATACATCATAGTTAAATGTTCAATCATCAAGGCAAATTGATCTTAATGATGATCAAAGACCATCATTTAAATATTTTCTATCTTTGTGTGCCAATTAGGACATTAATATGTAGTAGTAAGTATTTCACTACATTTAATTACTATGGTTCAATCGGCATAACATCAAATGAAATTCCTACAATCGTTTTCGATTCTTATATCGATATCGCTTCGAGTTCAACTGAGCAATTGTCGATTGTGAAAAGGTATCATCGTGGAGCGCATGACGCAACGCTCTCGGTTTCGCGTGCACTTGTCCTGAATGTGTAGCACCCGTGACCGCAAGAAATATATGAAAACGTACATTTTATGAAATTATTAGCTATCGTGTAATATCGTTTCGATATACTTTTGCTTTACACGCATCAATTGAATTAAAACCCACGCGCGTTTGACACAATTTAGTTAATCGGTCCATTACCTGCATTATAGTGCATTTCTTATTATCTTCTCATTCATAACGGAAAAATAAAAAGTTATATTTCAGAAATGTCCATATAATTATTTTAATTGTGGTTGTTCTTATTGGGTTTTTCATTATGTTTAACTCTTAATTAAGCTTAAAATTACTCTTTTCCGTCACCGTTCTTGTCAATCCCACATTATTAAACATGTTCAAGCTAACTTTTAAGACCGATAAGACATACACGATTGTCTAGTTAACTAACAGTTACCCGTAACTATAAATAGCTTATAAATGGAAAATTAAAAGTTAGAATAATCCGGTCTTGCAATGTTTGTTTCCTGTAATGTGAATTTTGTAATATTGCATGTCCGGTGTAGATAGGGCGAGCCGTTGTGCAATACCTCATTACCGCAATTATGACTTACACCTAGAATATGCTCTGATGATCTTGAAAGCGAAGACCTCGTACGTGTTTGTTGGATGAGAACTAAGGAACAATGTTTGTATACATCTTTGTCCCCTATCTTTTAGTCATATTATAGTAATGTTATTTTGGTTACAATATGAATCTAATACGTAATACACTTTATAAGTTTATTATTATTTAACAAAACAAAGTAATATTTTTCTATAAGCACAAAAATAAAAATAAAATATAATAATTATTATTACATGAATGATCTAACGTCCTTTATAAATCGATGACGCGATGAGGATGTAATGATAAATGGTAGGGGACGTGTATTTTGTAAACAAAATTTTCTTCTATGAAATTCATAGTATCTGTTACTTTGTTGCAATTTGATAACATTTTAGCATCGTGTTCAATAAACATGTTGCGAGCATTAATGTGACGTCATACATGTATCTACCTATAAAAATCTATAATACAGGGATAATATAATATTACTTGTCAATTTTATAAATGATAAGTTATAATTACATCCAATTATAACTCTAAGATCACTATTTCATCCTTCAATATCACCCCCTAAGGCGTGAGACCGATGATAAAATTTACATAGTGTGGTGAGTTAACTTATTGACACTTGAGTAAAGTAACAAAACCTCGGGTCCATCAAAGAAACGGTAGCCGATAGTCAGACAATGCTGTCAATGAGACAACAGCGGATTTATTCACATTCCAAAACCATAAAAGGTTATAACAATTTACGAGCAACAAAGAAACAGCATCTAGTACGGGAGCTAATAACGCGAGAGTGCGCATGCGCGGGGGCGTCCATTCACGCAGTTGATTGGCCCATCCGGTGCGCGCTCAATGAGTTGATGCGCCCGCGCCGGCCGCGTCGCGCCGCGCCGCCTCTGTCATTGAGCAAAGGTCTCTCGCCTACAATCGTGATCAACAGAGATCACTGAAAGATAATAGTACCCACCATTGTTAGACTCCAGATTCTAGCTACCTATGAGTTCTTATGACTCCTCACTCTCTGAAGGACAATTACAAAAGGCAAACTACATAATTATCTAATTCATTAAAGAGAAATAAAACGTAGTCTCCTCATATTTACAAAAATAATATCAAAATGTTTCGTTAATTACAGTAATAATTACCATATATGTTGTTAATGCAAAATTATATCTTTTTAGGACAATCATATTATATTCATTAACCAGAATTCTATGGTCACATATAAATTGAAAATAACTGTTACATATAATAACATTTATATATTAGAAATATAGTTTTGATAACGTCATACATTATATTATTTTATTATTATGCATGCTCTAATAACATTACCTAGGATGCATGTATGATAAAAACACGTGTTCATCATTATTTATTAGTCGATCGAGATCATTAAAAACAATTTAATTACGTCAGTAGATTAGGTAGGTATTACCATGTAATGCTATATAAATAAAACGCAACATGATTACTTGAAACGTTACTCTCAACACTTTTTCCGCGTCGATAAGCGTGGAACCGTTAAATATGGCATTATTACCACATTTTGAGGAACCCTTTTTCATGGCTAAATAGAGAGAGGGGTAATATTTACTGACAAATTTAATGGTCAATGATAAAATCGATTAAAATAAATATTTCTCACATCTTTTACGAAGTCTTATTATATATATTATTTACGAAGTTACAGTCGTTACAGTTTATATAAAATCTTTAAAGATTTATTCATGACAATTTAATTTTTGTAGTACCTATCGATACTTTATACTTTATATTATGTGCAAAATGTACATAATTTTAATATAAAAATTATATTTTGTAATAATAAATCTATTAACATTATAAATTCTAAAAGTTTTCAAATGCCACCTCAGAACAAAAAAACATGGGCAGGTTGTATCTTAACTTAGTACATAGAGTACAATATGTACTGATTCATGTGGCGATGCCACGGGATATAGTTAATAATGAATAGCAACAAAATTTTACCGAAGGTCATATTGCAATAGTGTACACTGCAACAGTGAACCTAATGACGGTAGATCATAATTATTACTGATGTATGTTGTTTTAAACATTTTTTTTTTTTATTAATAACATTAAACAATACAAATATGAAAAATCATCAAAAACATTAATTACGTAACTGTAACTGTAGAAATGTTAATTTTACAATTATAGGAATTTTCTTTAAGGAAACAGGTATGATTACTTTTAGTAAACAAAGTACATCAGTAATAGTTCAGAATTAATACAAGCAATTATACAAGACGATTTAAATGCGAAACGGCGCACGCGCCGTTTACGTCACGCGACGTTCCAAGTTCAAACGGTGAACAATGGCAGATGTAAAAATGGCGCGAGCTTTTGTTTCACTATTGTAATTAACGACTACCATGTAATATCTAGTGCGGTACAAGCCTATTTTCTGTGTATTATTACATATCCACATTTACTAGTATTTGCAAACTTGTGCCTAGCAGTGGGACGGCTAATATAATAATTTCTTATAGTGATAAATTTTATAATTTAACACAATTCTTTATATACATACAGTCACAAATACAAAACGTATTTTAATAAATAAATTAACCAGTACATTTAAAGTATATCAAATAATTGAAATAACTTTGTAATGTACTTTATATCCTTTTGTTTTCAAGATAACCTGTTTCAGAATATTCATATATAGTACATACAATTTTTTTTAAATTATTTCTTCTCCTTATGTTGCAATAACAAGTCCTGAAGTTTCATATGATTTCATTTTAAAATAAATATTATATCGTATTTGTTATTATGCTTTTTACATATTTAACAAATAAATATAAATACATAGAAAAATAATAAGATTTACGCTATAATATAGAATATTAGAGCTATGCAATGTTTCGATTTACAAATGGGGCGCAACAAGTGCTCGCGCACTCCCCTTTTGACAACCCCTGTTTACCACCTGTTACTGCATGTGCAGGAATTCTATACAACGGACGCCTGTTGCTTATATTGTTCATTGTTAGCATGCCTGCACAATTAGAATGACAGGAATAAAACAACTGTGCCGTCTTTGACCTACTCAACCATATATACAAGTGAAGTCGTATATCGACAGTTACACTTTAAAGAAACAGTGTTTTTTTAGTTTTAAAGTACTAAATTAAAATATAAAATGTACTTATTTTTCACTTGAAACATGAGATACATGATGTTACATATAAAAAGCATAATTACATACATAAGCATGTAAATTTTGAGTCCTTAATACTAATTTGGTTCGCATTATTTTATTATGTTGTTTCAGAATGTCAGTGTATTACACAAAGATACGTTGTAAATAGATTTATACTTTTATTTTCACCTAAAATTTTTTATGTCGTATCCAACGACAAATTTAAATGGCTAACAAAAGTCTAGCGAAGCAATGTTCAATTCTTTTTCGTAGA